TTCCACCCCCCTGTTTTGTGGGAAAAAAGTGCGTCTTATGGTGCGAAAAATACGGTACATTTCTTAAGGGTGCAAAATCCAACTGTCTTGTTAGTAAATAGAAAATAACCTAGGTTGTTTAATTTAAATAGATTAAATTGTATTAGCAATAATTCCTAATACTAACATCAGGGGGAGGGGCATAGCTGCTTGAAGTAAATCAACTATACTATATCTTTCCTACAGCATGTCAGAAAAATGAAGGGCATGGCAATGTGCCACCTCAAAGCCTTCCTCTTGCACACTTCCAACATGCTTCTTTCACCTCCTCATTACAGCAAACAGAGACAGACACCTGTGGCAGCCAAGCTTTCAGCAGGCAGGCCTGGAGATTTCCAGCAATATCTCATTCAAAATTCTATCTCTGTCATTGGAGTGGCACTTAAGTCATGGCTTGTGAGCCCTTAGTTGGTTTACCTTATGGATGATTTATTTCCTTATGCTTCAATTGTCAATACATTTACTACCAAATAGGTTCCATGGAACTCACTGAAACATGTTTCTGAATAAGCATGCTTAGGTAAAGGTAAAGGTTCCCCCTGACAATTTGTCCAGTCGTGTCTAGCTCTAGGGGACGGTGCTCATCTCCGTTTCTAACCCATAGAGCTAGCGTTTGTCCGAAGACAATCTTCCGTGGTCACATGGCCAGCACAACTAGCCATGAAACACCATTACCTTCCCACCGTGGTGGTACCTATTTATCTACTTGCATTTGCATGCTTTCGAACTGCTAGGTTGGTGGGAGCTGGGACTAGAGATGGGAGCTCACTCCATCGCGTGGATTTGATCTTGCAACTGCAGGTCTTCTGACCTTGCAGCACAGAGGCTTCTGCGGCTTAACCCACAGAAACCATGGTCTTAGGACTGTGCAATAAACCAAAATACACAATAATATACATAGTATCATTCATATTAACCTTTCACTAGTAGTTTCAAGCAACTAGTGGAAGCATAAGTAAACAAAGAATAGGGGAGTTGGAAGGGGACTATAAAGCCATTGGTTCAACCCCTAACTCAATGCTGGAATCCAAATCAAAGTATATGTCACAGATAGTTGTCTAATTTTCTCTTGAATGCCCCAGCACTGGAGCACTCATCACCTTTCAAAGTAATTGATTCCATTGTCATACTGCTCTAGCAGTTGGGAAGTTTTTCCTGATATTCAACTTAAATCTAACTTCCTGTAACTTGCAGCCATACTACAATGTTGGCTCATATTCAGCATGTTGCTATTGTTGTTTTGTCGTTAAGTCATGTCTGACTCTTCGTGACTCCATGGACCAGAGCACACCAGGCCCTCCTGTCTTCATTCAGCATGTGGTCTATAACAATTCTGAGATTCTTCTCATATGTAGTATTATTGAGCAAAGGATCCCTCATTTTTTAATGTGCATTTGGTTTCTTTTTTCTAAGTGTAGAGCTTCGCATTTATCCATATTAAATTTATTTTTCTTGTTTTCAGCCTAGTGCCTAGGCCTATCAATATTTTTTTTTAATTTTGTCTCTACATTCCAGAATATTAGCTATTTCACTCATCTGGGTGGCATCTTCAGATATGATAAGCATTCCCTGCAGCCCTTCGTCCAAGTCATCAATAAAAATGTTGAAGAACACTGGGCCCAAGCTGAGTCCTTTGGTACCCCACTTCTTACCACCTCCCAGGTTAAGAAGGATCTGTGATGCCAGAATGGTAATATTTATGGCTACTTTCAAAGTCCTTTTAGCCATGACATATAAGGCAAAGCATATGAGCGCAAACCTTGTACAAGCTCATTTAAATAACACAAAATCCTTTGGGATACAGTACAAAGATTTCATGTTTGGTGGATCAATTTTGTTATGATTTTACAAGAACCTTGCAATCTACCATCTTGACCTGATTGCAAAATGGTATTTGAGAGACCTTCCACAATGTAAGGTACATTAAGGGTAGAAGGAAGAAGTTTCAGTAACAGTTTTATATTGCATGGTTAATTTAGTCACTGGGGCACTGATACAAATTCATATGAGGAACTTAATGAAAACCCTGCAACAGCACACACATGCACATGAGCACATGCACACGCACCAGTTCTGAACCTAATTTAGGAATAACATTTCACTTTGAAATTAATGTCACAGGCCAGTATAAAGAAAAGTGCCAAACCCAACACTCAGGTTTGAATGGGAAAAAATACACTTGTAATTCTAACATATTATTTAAAAACTACAGGTCATCTATAGTTCAATTCTCTTCTCTCCCTCTCTCTCTCTCTCTCTAGAAATATTCCCTTGATTCTCTGTTACTTCCTGTTATCAAAGCCAAAACACTCTGCTTACTAGTAATGAATAACTAATAGGCCATTGAGGAAGAGGGGGGAAAACTCATGACACAGAAGTATGTCAGTAGAATACCTGGCTCAACCACTCTCAGCCAGTTACATCCAGAAAAAGGAAGGGGTGTCATGTGATACTGTCAAAGCTGAGGTACTGTTTTTCCTACTTGAAAGCATGTGACAAATACAGCTTTGGGTTTCCAACACAGACGTGTTATTATAGCAACTGTGAAGAACGCTGAAAGATGCCCCATGAAAGTCACAGATGAAAAAAAAAAAGTTGCATACAAGGGCTTGGTTTGTAATTCCTTCACAGGCTGCTGCCTTCCCTTTTGAGTCACATGGTTCATTAAATGTACTCGACAAGCAGATGCTTGTGTTGCATGGCAGCATCCAAAGAATTCCACCAGGGTCTCAAATTCTTTCCTGCCGCTCTGCATTAAGTGGGTACAAGTCCTGTGGAAAAACAGTTTGTACCCTCAGCCCTTGGGATCTCATGCCAAGCCACTTCACTACACAATTTGAGTACAATTTTATCAGACTTAAGACAGGGTGGGGTTTTTTTTGGGAGGGTTGGGTTTTTTTACTACAACTCAGAATCCCTCAGTGAGCTTAGCAGCTGACAGATCTGATGTAAATAACTTGTTCAAGCAGTGCATTTGGCTATGCGGGCTGGGATTATGGGAGCTGTGGTGCAATATATCTGGTGTGTAATGTCGGGTGGGGGAAGTCTGGCACAGACCATATTGCACAGTTCTGCTGTAGCAGTGAGTTGCCTCTTTATACAGTCTCCAGGAGCTCTGTGTTGTATCCTGTGAGCACCATTGCCTGCATAACATGTGCCTTCTGACATTCATGTGTATGGCCAGTTGTATGATTCCTCCTCATGAAAAGAACAGGGGAACTCACACAAGGATAAAAATGAGAAACCACATGCAGCTCACCATATTCCACCACCCTTTTAAAAGAGGAGCAATAGAAAGGTGATTATAGATCAGCTTACAGCACTCCACGTACTTGTGATAGACTCTGCACTCCAGAAAGGAAGACCGAAAAAGAAAGGACAGCTTATGACAATGAACATTTGGAAGAGGAGGAGGAGAAAAGATGACAGGTGTATTATGACATTGCATCTAGTGAAAATAGACAGAATTTCAGTATTGTTATTTCATTACTGTAGAGAGCATAAAGATTATTAATGAGCATACCTAAAAATAGAATACACCTGCCTTACTGAAGGCAGTAACTAAAATGTCCTTTTGAGACTGTGTGCTCCTATTTTTAAGCCCGGTTCTTCATCAGTCAAGTCCCTCTTACTGTGAAGAATTACTGTCACCCTATAAAAACAGCCTTTTGCAACCACTTCTGGAGCTTGTGGTGGCTGTGCAGTGTTAATTGTCTTACCTCCTGCATTTACTGATTCTACCAAACCCATAGTTCCTGAGTTTCTTCTAACATTTAAGTACCCCACTGGGCATAGCTGTCATTACAAGTAAAGTACTGTTCTAGTCTGTACAGTTGGATTTTATGGGCACAACATTGCTGTCTTCCAAGAGGGCATGGCCATTGTTTGAATTAGTCTAACTTTCGTTTTGAAACTAATTGCGTTTGCCCGTATTAACATGTCTCAAGCTGGCTCTATTTTTCTTTCCAGTTTGCTGAGCCAGATTTATTCAAGAAAACTGGGCCCTTGAGTCCCCACATTATGTACACTCACTTGCTATTTTCATTTCATGCTTCTACTGCACAAAGTTATTCGGCTCCCCTTCACAACCAGATGTTACATACACACTGCTCATTTAAATCATCCCTGCCAAGTGAAAAGTGGGAAATACAGGATCATTTGGGCCAAATACAAGACATAAATAGGAATGGCATTGAATACTTCACAAACGAAAGGCATAAAGCAGCAAGCAAACACTTTTTTTTTTAAAAAAGTATTGATCTCAGTAACTTTCACTAAGAAACAGAAAAACTAATAAAGCAAAAAAAATAATAATCCAACTACAATCTCGAGATAGCGACCTGGTAGTAGGACGTACTGTATCTGTTGCTCTCCTCTGCTGGGTTGGCTTTTTCTTTTTTCTTTTCATCTTTTCGCTTCTCATTTTTTTCTAATTTTTTATTTCATTTCTTTTGTATTCACTTTAACTTTATTGTACTTAAGATCTAGTTATACTGAGTTTTAATCTAGTTAGTTTTATGTATTCGCGAAGGCTTTCACGGCCGGGATCTAATGGTTGTTGTGGGCTTTTTCGGGCACTTTGGCCATGTTCTGAAGGTTGTTCTTCCTAACATTTCACCAGTCTCTGTGG